CTCCCGCTATAATCACCTCGCCGGAGGTGATTATAGCGGAATATGACGCCATTCTCGGCCACCAAGAGCGCGAGAATTTCTATAATCACCTGAGTAATTATACCAAAAGGAATTATGCTGAGTTTTCTTTTAAAGCTCTCAGATCTCTAATCAGATTTCACACTAATTCTGGGTTATCTTAACCCAGCTTTGAACAACTCGGCCCACTGTGGTATAAACTAGTCAGTAATACTTCAATCTGAAACGTCTAATAAGATATCTATATTCACCAATTTCACAGTATCTGAGACGTTCCCAAAAAAAACGCTGAAAACCTACAAGTTTCAGAGTCGAAAGAACACAGAAACAAGATACAAGCATCTTTTATAATCTGGTAGCTAACTTAGTAGTTTGGTGTGTAATTGGTTTAACCTTCTCTTGCTTTTCCATCTGTAGACTTGTTCAGGATTCATCGTTCCGGTATCGGGTAAGCTCACTTAATTCTCTCCCCCCCCCCCCCTTCCATGGGCTTACGGATTTAGATAGTCAACACAACGGCCAGCTATCGATTAGTTGGAAAACGTAAATTAATGTTTTAGCTCTAGCACTCAACCTGACAGCTTTATGAGAGCGGATAGCGGATACCTCCATGGTACGTTCTTGGGTCAGTTTAAGTTGAGATTTTGGTGGACAGTATAGTTGATAACGGAAGCTGATTAATTCTTTCTATCGTTCAAAGCTTGCAGCGGATGCACTCTAATAAACTGGAATATCCATTTGGGCAGTGCAGGATGGGCGAGCTGCCCACCGGGAAAATATCTGAAAGGAGTTTGGAGGGCGCATATCACCAACCCCGACGGTATCGACAATATAAAAGGAGGCAAATGCTGCACTCCACCTCATGAGTTTCTAAACGAGGATATTGAGTGTGAAAAAGTAAACTGGAAAGCGCCATTAAGCAAGTAAGTGTACGCGTAGATTTTAGGTCTGACTCTCTTACGCAACGGTGTAAGACACTTGCAAGTGTGAGCATGTGTTGATCTCTAGTCCTTTTGTCTCATTACAGGAGATATTTTCTCAAGCGTCATTGTGTTTAATCGCTTCCCTATGTATAGAAAAGCCTTAATTTGTTCAAGAATCTCTGGTTGTGAATCCCTCGGCCCTCTTTAGAAGTATGAGAAAGACAAACTGAAGGAAAGAGAACACGAGAAATTTTGAATTTGATCTCTGTTGTCTTACTTCTTTTGTTCTATGTCTTCAGTTCTTTCTTGAGCGCCTCACGAGGAGCATTAAGTTTATCATTGATATCATCACTAAAATGTTTCCTTTTCGTCATCAAAGTGGTCAAAATGTCACAGTCATCCTACTTGTGGTCGTCAGTTTTATCTGTTCATCCTAACTGACTAATCATAATTAAAAAAAGATCACAAAAGGGAAACTTTCCTCAGAGGGCCGAATTACGAAAATAACTATGGATCCATACTGCGCCCAGTGTTTGGTCTGGAAAATCCATTACATGCAACCATAAGACCAGATGTAACCTGTTCACTCATGTTTTCACTTTCTATTCACGATACAGGTGATAAAAATGCCTCGCCTCATTAAACCTGATTAAACAGGTAGAAAAATAATTCTACAGTGAAGCTTTGATCATTAGTGGTCTCGAGCAGCTTTGAGTGGCGACATGACGGTGAAAAATGTAACGCCTAAGAAGATAATGAATACGAATATTTATTTATAATAAAGTTTTGTTTTTAATTAAGAGAGCACAAGTGGGCATCCTGTCCTGAAGGCTATTTCCTACGAGGATTTTATATTACAAATGGAACTCTTTTGGAAAACATCGAGCAAGCCTGGTGTTGCAGGCCAAAGAACTACATAGGCGGCACCACAGATTGCCTCCTTAAAGACGTGGGGCAAACACTTTATATGGAGGGCTGGAGCACGTGTCAAGACCGGTACCATATGGCAGGCGTCTACAAAGGGGGGTGTAACTTTTTACACTGTATTGAGAAAATAAAATGCTGCAAAATTGTGGCACAAGGTATTGATTATCGTTAAAATACGATATAACGTTAGCATCCTAAAAAGTAAATTCTCTTTTTGCTTATGCTTCAACATAGGCTAGACTATGGATGCAACGCATAGCTGAACATTATTGACCCATGAACCACTGCACTGCCTAGGGCTCTAAGACTTTGATGATTACTTTCGCTAACGTAGTCAAACTCGTCTGACACTGGCACCGAAAACAGTCCTTCCTAGGACAAACACTCCTATCCAGACGAACAGACCACGCGATCAAATCATTGCTATAGGTTTCACTGACATTTGCCTAACTATAATTTTTTTCCCTTTTTGCAGATGCGGTAGTCCTAGGTCACTGGCTGCTAAACGGTCAAGATTGGAATGTAAGGTATTTCAATACTTTGTAATCTGGATTTTATCAGTGAGTAACAATGACATACCTGACAGAACAATGTAAAATGTTACATATCATTCTTCACATGGTGCCATATTTATAATGGTGTGATAAGTTAGGTAGGTCTTTTCATGAATTAAGATCGTCCTTCGATCTCATACGGATCGCATAAATACCACCCATTTTTGCTTCAATTCCAGGTTATATGGTGATCCATCTTTCGCCGAGGGTCGATGTCCCGGTAGTAAAGCTGTCAATTTCACCCAAACAAGATCCTATGCGACGGTACCTGTCATAGATCTTACAGGCCGGAGTTTTACTATTTCCTGTTGGATCAAACAAACAAAAAGCGTGCCCGACGAGCTTGCAGCGATTTATGGTAACTGGCGTTTTCCATGGAATTTTTTGCTAAGTATAAAAAACCGACAGATTATCTTCCATCGTCACAAAAAAGGAGAAAACGAATGGTGGTCTGCAGATAGTGTTGATGTTTCTTTCGACGCTTGGACCCACTTGGTTGTTATATGGAATCATGAAAGTACCGCTGTGTCGGTATTAGCTGACGGGTTAAAGGTGGCGGCGAACTCATTTACTCCAGGTGATAGTTTCTACAAGTCAACAGGGGATTGGTACTGGATCGGTAATGACGAACACTGGGGTGATCACCAATTCTATGGATCAGTGATGGATCTTTATGTGTTTGGCTCAGTACTGTCGCTGGAACAAGTCAATAAACTTAGAGGCGAGTTCATTGATTAAGAAAAATAGAACCAACGAACCTTCATATCAGGACGGTAAATTACACCGTCTGTATTGCCCTCCTCCTCCTCCTCCACCCATTCCCCCTCCCCCTGTCCCGCATCTGCATCCCTTGAGCTTGCTAAAAATCTTGGATCTTTACTAATTATTCGCCAAATGATTGTCTAGGAGCTCCGCTTATCGTCAACAAGCTCAAGAGCGTATCAGGGGGAAACGTTCTAGTGGTGTGGGAACCTCCTTTTGAAGGCGCATGTCCAGTTGTCAAATACAAAGTGTATTACAGAGAGGTTACGTCATCAACAGGACGACAAAGCGGCTGGTACTCGATAGAGTTGGACAGAAATCACACAAGTTGCACGCTTCATTTGAGTTGCGGAAAAGAATATGATGTGTCTGTTACGTCAATCAGTGAATCAGGGGAGAGTCCATTCAATGACAGCAAAATTTGGAATTTCCAAACCACTGGAGGTAATAACCTTAACAAAGTGAAACTTAAAGTAGTCAAGCATAGTCGGCATAGTTTTAAAACTGTACCAGTAAAAATACTGTATAACTACTGCACTGAGCATTCTCAGTCCTCCCCCCACCTCAAAAAAAAGAAAAGGAAGTCTGAAAACGAGAAACTAAGATTTGATAAGGAAGAACGCCGGGCTTGGATTACATTGAGGGCCACTGGATTGTCAATTTTATACTGTTATGTGTTTTACCCTATTTAAATAAAGTTGATTATTATTATTATTATAGTATTTCCGCACAAAGGGAAAGTTGGTTGATTTCGAGAGGTTTTAAATGCACGAGAGATTTTATTTTATTTTTTCCATCATCCATCCATAGATCAATTGTAATTGTGCAGCACTATTATATCTCAAACAGCTACCTTATTCTATTTCCTTAGTGGGTCACTGGAACACCAACTAATTTTTCACTGCAGGCATTCCTTCACCTCCCATTATAACCACTACGAAAAGTGAAATATTGGGTCAAAATGTCACCATCTCTTGGAGTCCTCAAACAACCAATGGGTGTCCACTCACCATGTACTCAATACACTATCGACTGATTAAACCGCAAGGATTAGGGGAGTCCTGGTACCAAGTAAATGTCACCGATATTACGAAGACCAACCAAACTGTATCGTTAGAGTACGACAAACGATACGAAATTGAAATGTCGGCGTGGAATGAGCTGGGACAGAGTGCAAGGTCGAGGCCATGGATAATAACAACAGTATCATCAGGTACTTAAGAACGATTTTTTGTGTCTTTTTTCTCCTTATATTTTGTATGTCTCATAACAAACTTGAACCAGCAAAGAGAAATGGAAACACACACTGGGCACTTGCAACGAAGTATGTGATAAAGACAACGTTCCCCCAATAAATGATAAAGGTATTTACTCTTGGGGCTGAACGAAGTCTTTTTCACAACGAGTTCGAGAAAAATTAATTATGCATGTAGTCTGACCGTTTGGGTGAGAGTGGTCCTGGAAAGGACTAATTATCAGCAGCAGAAACTGACGTTTCGAAAACCTGACCGGACGTTATCATTATTATCAAATGAGGATTCTTTGTCGGTCAAGTCCCATAAGTATGTAATTGTTTGAAAGAAATAGCGAAACTTTTAGTGAGAGTAATATTGTCTTAATAAAACATCACAAACGTAATTCTCAGAATATAGCATAAATAAAAGAACGTAGGAATTTAAATGTCCAGCAACAAAAAAGAGAAGCAGTATTTTCGATGAATAACGAGAACAAAGAAATAAATGATAACTTTTCTCTTGTTTGTAGGTTCAGTTGATTGGACTACTGAAAAACCAATGGTAAAGTCTTCGGTCTCAGGCAGTGGTAAAATCCTTTCAACGCCACAGCTTGCTGGTTTATTAGTAGGTGTTTGTATCCTTCTGTTCGTGGTTTGTATCACATTAATCTACTTTGGACGTGCAGCAAGAAAACGCAGAAAATATGCTTCTACCCCAAAGCCCAGGAGGTAACACCCTGTTTTTATCAGTTATTTTTGTCCTTTACAAACGTCTGAAGCTTAGATGAGTTCTAAGTATTTGTTCACCAGACATTTGCACTGATTTCGGCACAATGTGTTCAGCGGCGTGTTCTGTGTCTGACCAATTAGAAGAAAATAAAGGCTTAAAAATACTTTGATGAGGTGAACTTCTCAAAGTAGATGAAGCAAAGAGTTTATTGCATACTGATAATTTTCCAGCGAGGCTTGTGTCGGTTGAGCGCGGGATATATACTCTTATACCACTAATGCCTGCTTACACTTCAGATCGAAGTCCACCATTTTTACCCTCCATAACTGGGAAGTTCTACCGGAGCAGGTTGTATTCGGGAAAGAGATTGGTCGCGGGGCATTTGGTAAGGTGTTAAAAGGCACCTTCAGAGAATCACCTGGAATTGAGGTGTTCGCTGAGCCCAGAAATGAGACGGTCGACTTCAAACCGGAAGAAACAGTTGCAATTAAACTCCTTGGAGGCAAGTTGTCCAGGGCATCAACAAAGATATTTTCATAGAGTGTATAGAAGTGAGTTTGTTAGTTGACATCAGTCGACTTGTAAATCGACGCTAAACAGCCATTAAGCCGCGTATGTTTCGGAAAAGCGGCATTTTCCAATCGTCAAATTTTGCAAATAGGCTACCTAAACAATGATTTTTAATATGTAAAAAAAGTAAAAGCACTCCAAAGTTCTTAAGAAATATTACTCTCTTAAAAATCTTAAAAGATATATTTAATTGCTGTTATTCGCCATACATACCTGGTCTAGACCACGAGAGCATCACCCATCTTCCAATCTCATTTGAAGTCATTCAATTTTTTCCTCAGACAAAACAGGCGACGAAGTGCGAAACCAATTTTTGGAGGAAATTGAACTTATGAAATTAATCGGTACACATCCGAATATAGTTAGAATGCTGGGATGCTGTGTACACTCAGATCCTATCTTTCTCTTATTGGAATACGTTCCTTACGGGGATTTGTTGCACTGGCTCAGAAACAAGAGGCTACAGGTAAGTGGACTGGAGTACTGACGCTAGTTCTCAGTGTTTAAATCAATTTTTCTCCCACGTTTGCTATCATGGATGAATACTACCTTTTTTGCCTCGATTTTATCAAAGATGCCACCACTGTAATGGTCTCAAGCTGACTGTTAAGTACTACCAATAAGATTGACGGAACAAGTCACAATAGCAACAGTAAATTACTTAAAACGCGCTTAATCCTGGCCTCTATGAAATACACTAAGTTATCGAATCGTAATCAAGCTTTTTAGCATTTATCTCTCTGAAGGGTTAGAGAAGATATTAAAACCTCACATCATCCATATAGGCTCATATTATATTAAATGAACACGGTCTCAAAGCTCCAGTGCAATCATAATTTTGTTTTTGAATGTAGTAAAAAAAAAATTATATTTGCAGCTTCTACTTGCCTTGGGACTGAGAGTACTAGTGCGATCATAGTTTTTTTTTCTTCCCCTCTAATGTATTACACAGAAATGCAATCAAAAGCATTATGATAACTTCAGCAAGCCTTTGCTAGTTGCTGCAAATGTGGTGCAGACTAGCGACGAAGATGAGTCCAGAGCCTTGTTATCAAGGAGTGAAGAAGAAAGTGACAAGGATCTAAACACTAAAGGTACCGCCAAGGAGGTTTCAACCGCAGATTCTCAAGGTGGCTTGAGCACTGAAAGTGCCTCAAAGGAAAAAGTACACGCTATAGATAAAGCACAGACTGACGAGAAAGACAAGGTGCAGAATCAGTACGAAAAGGGAACATTATTGACCCAT